ATTTATGATTTTTTGATTTTTTAAAGGCTTAGCAACCTACGTCAAGCAGCAACCGAGTACAAAGGTCGTAACTAGAAGAGATAATTGTTTGCTTTACTTCTTTATTTACTGTTCTGTGTTTGAAGAAAAATAAGTTTAAGAACTTATTTCTAAATAGCAATAATCTATATATATAAATAATGTATAATAATTGAAATTTGACTGTAAAATACTAGTCTACTAAAACACAGCCAAGACAGATCACTTTGTGAAGACTAAAGGTCAGTTTTATATTATTGGATATGGTAACATGAGTGCACGTGCGTTCGCCATTGTAACTTCTGTGTTGTTAGCCAGGCACAGCTGAAAGGTCAATATAATAAAAGATAATAAATATATATAAATGTAAAATGTTATGAGATTTAAGCTATTTAGTCTAAACATTTATGTTTTCATGCTATAATTTGTAGTCGTTCTAGAACGAAAAAGGCATAATTTATATTTATTTCCTCATTTTTTTTAATGTGGTTGCGAGATCAGTCAAATCGACCAAACCCATACAGAGAATCATTACTGAAAATAACAGATAAAATTAGTGTTTTTTTCATAAGAAACATTTGATAACTATCTGGACATTATAAAGATTATGCATGTGAAATTTAAAAATTCTCTGATGGACAAAAGTATTGTTTATCTTCAAATGAAAATTACTTAGCATGAGAAAAACATTGTTTTACAAACCTTAAGACTTGTTTAAAAAAATTTGATATTTTACATATGAAAGCATTGTAACATTTACTGATAATCTGCCAAATTTTGTTAACATATGCTTACTAATCTAAAAGTTATAGCATGAAAACCATAGCAAACACAAAATGGTTATGAGGTCAATCCCAGGGACTAAGCCCATGCTGAAAGAGTTAATGAAAGTGCATTTACTTTGAATACATAGGCATTCATAGTGATGATGTTTGTGGATTATACATGACTACTTGTTTAAGAAACACTTAGGTCAATTTATGTGGAGTCAAACTTTATGATCTATTTTATTTTAAGTGGCCATGTGGGCTATGTATTAGACACTTTTTACGAGCCCACCAGCATTCTTAGGGGCTATTGGCTCCCGGACTCCCACAAATTTCGAGCCCTGCAGGATGCTACAGAACCTATCAATTATATTTCTACAGGAGTATATTCCAAATTTTTTATACTTCCCAAGAACACCAGGGTCAGGCATTTGGTTAGAGATCTGTCTTGGCTCGACAGTTGCATTGACTTTCCTTACATTTCTCTTGGTGTCCTTCCTCACTTGTAGATAGACATTTAATCCAGGTTTATGGACCCATTATCTCAACTGCTTCTTTGGGAAGCATCTGTCTTGGGTTGGAATGACTTATCATGTTGGAGTCATCCTACTTTATCCCGACACAGTACCTCTTCCACTTAGGAGTATTTCTTTTTAAACTCCGTCCTCAGTTGAACCCAATTTCTACAATGCAGCTGAACTATGTAGAAATGTGGGGTAGGTGGGAGATAAGTATCTGTTGGAAATATATTTTCACTGTAGGAAAATATTAACCTTTGGTTTTAAAATAAATAGCTGGTTTTGCAACAATACTATGGTGTTTTTATATCTTCCTGTATTCAAAAAAATTATCAGTTATTTTTGCAATTAGACCTGACCATTCACATGTAACTTTTATCACGGCATGAGTTATGGCATGTTTTTCACATTTCATTTATTATTGTACTAATGTATTGTTGACTGACTGTTTTATAAGTAATGTTCAATCTGTTTTTATGTTAATTTTTGCTTCTGAAGAAAGGTTGTAATTGATCTGAAAGCTGGCATTTCAATTTAATATTCATTATTTTAACATTATCAGTCTGGTCCAGACATCTGTTGACTTATTTAGCACATAATAAAAGAAGTAATGAATAAAACAGGGTTTAAACAGTATAGTTTTATATTAACAATTTGGTAACTAACAATAATAATATTCTTATATTCCAGGTGAATGTGGATTTTATCGAAGAGGAATTTGAAAGGATGAATAGTGAAGAATTAATAAGGCTGAAGGTGAGGTTTGTCTCAACAAATTTGTGTTACAATTTTCTTAAAGTTGCATCCAAGCAAATATCTATTTATATCCAGCAATCAATTCTTTTGGACTCCTGAATTTTGCTGCTGTGTATTTTCTGATATTCAATCTTCTTTTAAATGCTTGAATTTGTCCAACATTTTAATTTCTGAAGTTTTATGTGGATTCCTGAATTTTATTACAATCCAGTAACTAAAATTAGCCACTTTTAGATAATTAAGCTTTGCTTTATCTGTATTTTGTATTTGCCTAGAATAAAATGTTCATACTGATTGGTCAAGAGAAGAAACAGATTGATAAATGTTACTTTGAGAGATATCAGCATGGGTCAGGTCTGGTTTTATTTTTAGTTGATACAAAGTACTCTTAATTTATGGTTGTAATGGTTATGTCTCCATTTTATTTTATTAATTCATTTTCCAATATAAAGTGTTACAGATTACAGTACTTAATCAGTTTTTAATTCCAATATAAAGTGTTACAGATTACAGTACTTAATCAGTTTTTACTTCCAATATGAAGTGTTGCAGATTACAGTACTTAATCAGTTTTTACTTGCAGTATGAAGTGTTGCAGATTTCTGTGCTTAACCAGCATTTACTTTTAGTATAAGTGTTGCATATTACTATATTTGATCAGTTTTGTTTCCAGTATAAAGTGTTACAGACTGCTGTATTTAATCAGTTTTACTTCCATTATAAATTGTTGCAGATTAATTTTTGAAATGTTTTACTTTTATTCATACTGCATTGAATAATCTTTGATTGATTTCCATAAATGCACTACACATATTTTAAAACATGAAGAAAAGTGCTTTTGAGACATGTGAAACCACCAGCTTATAACCAAAGTAAATAATTGTAAGTTCTTTGCCAGTTAACAACATGAGGTTATATGTACTAGTTTGCCTTAAATTTTAGTGCATTAGTGTTGAACTAAAGCCAGTTACTCTTTTACTGCCTTTTTGAAAAACTTTTATTTGTCTCCCCTGTGTGTGAGAATGTGATATTTTCTGAAAACTGTAAATACACATTATCATTTCCTCCTTCAAATATTTACAAAAAGATAAAGCTAGAAAACAGTTCTATTTAACCCTATATCATATACGTATGGGGTCAGTCCATTCGACCAAGCCTGTATTGGAAAATTAATGTTTACTATAAATTATATAATTCCAAATTTACTTAGTGTATCTGCATGAAATTTGGTAAGCTTTTAGTAAATGTTAAAAGTACATCTTATACAAAAAAAAGAACTTTTAATAAAGTATTTCTACTAAAGATTTATCTCTGAATTTAGTTTAGTCAGTCTGACTCAGACTCTGACTACTCTGAGCAGAAGGTAATTTTCATGTTATGAATAAAAATACTTTTTTCAATTTTGAAATTCATTTGCTTAACCTCTAGTCACTTCTAAATGAATATCAAAAGGTTTTTTTCAATAAACTTTATATTTTATCTGTTATTTTTTTCTATGCTAACACTATACAAGCTTGGTCCATTTGATTGACTTTATAACCACTATAATAAAATACAATATATATCTAACTTACCCTTCTTTCTTTCTAAAATGACTGTAAATTGTAACAGAAGATTACAGTTATTTTATCCTAAATAGCCTCAGTATCATAACAGTTTACATCTGTTTTCATTTAATTTTATTGTTTTCTTGCTCTTTGAATCACATCTGACTACCACAAATAGCAATAAATCATCCAGCAGGAGTGTAGAAAGTTTAAACAAAATTTCAGGTTATATCACATGACATTTAACTATGTCTGTTCTTTCTGCATTTCTTGAGGCAGAAACATTTCAATTTAAGTTTTCATCTAACCTAATAAGTTTAGTTATTTTGTTAAAAATATATATCACAAAATAGAAAATATGCATGAGAAATTCAGCACTTTAGGATTGAGGTCTTTTGTTTTCATTAACCCTAAATTTTTATTATTAAGTTGATTGTCCAAAAAATAATCCATGTAGCTTTTAGATATGCAAACAATAAAACAGATTGCTCCAAAACTACTAAAAGTTACTTGGCTTTCTAACTGACCTATAAAAAGGTTTAAAAAATTTTATTACTTACCAGAGCACCGAGTTCAGACTTTCCTCAATAAGATCTTCTTCCAAAATGGTACTTTTTATCACAATAAATTAACATTAAAACATCATAACAACATACTTCATAAAATGGCATTTCAATTGGTTATAAACTTGTATCATTAATAAGTAAGCATGAGAAAATAATTTCAAAAGCATAAGGAGTTGAAAGGAGCTTCTGTGATGGATGTAACAAATGTATTGATATCTCAGAAAATAAAGTTGGTAGGCCCACATTTTAAATAATGGTTTTTCAATATATATAGTTGGATTACCTAATTATTGGACTTTCTGAAACCCATATAAGGGAAGAAAGAAAATCTAAAATAAAAAATTCAGAGCAGAAAAGCATCATGTGACTGACACATAGAAGTGAATATTGAGAATTTATTTAAATATATCCTTTTTAAATTAAGAAATCAAAGCTTATATTAAAATTTAAATTATAAGCTACATGTTGATGCCAAGTTTATTGACATACATTGATAATAAAATTACTTAATTAAATTTTGAATGTATTAGGTTGTCAAGAAATTAATGTTGCTTTTTTTTTAGATGAAAATACCAGAACAACTAATATATCAAAACAAAACATTTATTAAATGAAGTAGTCTCCATTCTCATTGATGATGCTTATCCATCTTACAATCAGGTTATTAATGCCCTGATTAAAGAAATCACTTGGCTTTGAAGCAAGTAATAGGTCCATGTCCTTTTTAACACCATCCACAGTTACATATACGTTTTCCCATTAAGATGGTGTCACAGTGAATGAAAAAGATGGTAATCTGATGGTGCCATACCTGGAGAATATGGTGGGTGGGGAAAACTTCCCAACCCAACTCCATAATCTTGTGTTGCATCAAACATGCCACATGTGGGCATGCATTGTCATGGAGAAGAAGAACACCTTTCTGATTGACGATTGAAGGAGGTTTCTGATGAAGGGCTTGATTTAAATGTTCCAGTTGCTGACTATAGATCTCTGCATTGACAGTTCACTGTGGATTGAGGAGTTCAAATGAATTACTCCTTTGATGTCCCACCAAATGGAAAGCATCATTTCCTGTGAATGGAGTCCAGGTTTTGTGGTCAGATATGTTTTTTATCTGGAACTGAGCCATTGTTTTTGGCGTTTAATATTCCCAAAGAGAATCCATTATTCATCACCGGTGACAATTCTGTCCAAAAATGGTTCATGCGCATTACGCGCCAGAAGAGACAAAGCAACGTTCAGACGTTGGAAACGATGATCATCGGAGAGGTTGTGAGGCACCAAAACACCTTCTTTATGGAGTTTTCCTATATTCTTTAGATGTTTACGTATTGTTTCATGAGTGTGTTGTTTTGGGTTAGATTAAACAAGTGTCTTCAGAGTATCAATTTCAACATGTCAGCCCCTGCCATCACAGTTTTTAAGGCTAAAGTCACGTGAACAGAA